AGCGGAGAGGACTGAGCCACTGGATGAAGGGAACCTGGTATGTGCTCTGGAGTGACTGAGGGCCTCGTCTACCGATTCCGAGAGTTTGAGTCTGCCACTTCGGCCTGGTCCGAGAGTAGGGTATCCAGAGACTGGGGATCTTTAAGAGAGACTTTGGTCTTAGTTTTATCCATTTTTATTATAATACATTTTGTATATATGGTCGACTTGAATTGTGTGTTTTTAACTCTGCTCAAACCTGATTTTAAAGAACCTGTGTTTTTAGGAGTCCTAGGTGGCGTTGTCAGCATATTTTTAGCATTGTAACTTTAAAATTCCTTTTCAGCCGCGCCACAGCCTAGAACAGACAACCCAAACACTGGCTCTCAATAGGGTCTATCGCGAGGTGTTGTAATCTGCAACTACTCCCTAAAAATCTGTTAATTTAGATCAGATTTTATTTATGCTCCCAAGTTTTTTTAACTCATGAGATTCATGTTTTGGGGGGTTTTTTTTATTTTTATTTTTTTTTTTTATGCACACTGTGACCTCCTGAACTTCTCCTGAAAGGAGACATCAAGTAGTATGCTAATACCTACAAAGGCTCAGTGTTGACACTAAACAAGCTTTCGTCTGCTTTGTCACTTCTCCTTTCTCACTACACACCGCTCCTCATTATTTTTATTTTTATTTATTTTTTTTAAAGCTTGGGCTCAGCAGGAACTCAGGTTTGTGATCTCTTATTTGAGGCTGCAGGTCTCTCTCTGCAATGTTCTGCACACATTACTGGAGGGCTGCAATGTTGCGTTGATAACACAGCAGGAGGGCATAAGATCCGCCACTACTGAGGACAGAAAAGTGACATGAAAATCAGGTGTTGACGAAAGGCGTCAGGGGTAATCGCTTGTGTTTAGGAGCAAGCAACCTGCTTCATATTCAGAAATATGGAGGTAAAAATGTCATTAAGTTGCATCCCACTGTTACATGCAACTGGTTTATATTACTGTGGTAAGCTGGATACAGTAAGTCCAGAAAATGTTTTTGACAGGGCTTTTGATTTGGAGAGGCATGCAGTGCCTCGCAGTGTGATAAGTGCACTGGCCTGATGTTCTAACGAGAGAGCGTCAGATAACACCCCCTTCCCCAAACTAACTATCAAATGATTGATCACAACAGCAAAATAAAATACAATAGTGCACCGCGTCTCATTAACTGAGGAATGCCATCATAACAAGTCATTAATACGAACAGCAGCTCGCACTGATTGGCTGCCCACTAAACTTCCATGCATCACAACACATGGCAGTGAACATTTACATGTAATGACTCAAACTCATCACCCATCATAATGTATTTTATGAGAGCGGCGGCAGATTGAGTGCACATCTGCCGCCGCTCTTTGATATCTGTCTGTGCACGGTGTGACAAGGCAGTCTTTCACCTGTCCTGTTCCCACTTGGGTTGATGGTATGGAAACGCCATATTTCAATGCTGAAGGATGATAACGCTGGCAGGGCAATAACAGGATACAAGTCATTTTGCTGATGTTGTGAAAAAACAGTGAAGCTGCAGTTTTAATATATTTTTTTTTTATTTGTTTTTTATCATGTTTGAATTGGAAGTTAAGGTAGTCAGATTAATGTTTGCAGTGGGTTTGTTGGCTCTTTGTCCTTGGCAACAAGTATTTAAAAAAAAGTGTTCTTTTCTATTTTTCATTAGATTTTTGACAACACAATTAACACTGGTAGCTGCCCTAGTAGCTCACCTGGCAGAGCACGCCCCATGTACAAAGGCTGAGTCCTTACTGCAGCAGCCCGCATTTGATTTAGCGGCATGTTGCCACTAGTCTAATTCTCAGGTTGTCAAATACTGACACTGGGAATGAGACTCAACAATATTTCTGTCTTTATCGGCTCTGATTTGTTTCTTTCGTGTATGGTGGATTCTTGCAAATGCTATTAGGAACACTAGGAGGAACCGGAGGAACCAGAGGAACCTGATTTTTTCTCATAGAATATCTGTCTAGTGTGCTCCTGTCAGGATATAGACATGGTTTCAGCAAATAGACCTATGACAAAAGGTTATTTTTATAAAAGGTACCTAGTGCAGCTTTAAGTGCAGTTTACACAACACAGACCGTACATGGCAGCTTCATCATATGCCCAAAGACCAACGATGCTCCTTTGCTGAAATTAGGTGTACTGTGTGTTAATGATAATTAGAAAATGGTAATTTGATTAATGTGCATCATGTCAGTGCAATATAAGCCATAATAATTACAACACTGGTAATTCATTTTTAATAAATGTCACTCATGGGCATCAAGCCAAGCTGTAGACATAACACTGACATATTATCACCTTACAAAGTTGATATTGAAAACGTGTTAGCAAACAGTTACCTATTTAACACAGCCAGCAGACACGGAACTTCATTAGCATTCATGTCAAGTTGTGTTTCTGTCCACCTGATGAATGTGAATAAAACATTCCCTCTTCTTTTAGCTCTGTTTTGGTCTCCACTAAGTGAGAAGAATATCTGTTATATCTGTAATAACAGCTACACAATCACTAGCTAGGCACTGATGGTGTATTAATGATTGCTGCATTCCACTTAGTGAGAGGTCCTGCGATTGTGCATGCTGGTTCACTGACACAGTCACTGGGACACTTAGTGGAACTGAGCTGTTACTGTTATTAAGTCTACTTGTTTTGCCTATAGTGACAAATCAAAATGTCTGCTGTGCAACTAGTCCACTGTCTGCCATTTTGTGCTTGGTTGGTAGCCTTTGTGGGTTCATAAGAACTTTTCTGCTGAAAACAGCTGCCTGATGCAGCTGGAAAAAAAGTTAATGAAATCACAGAGATTAACAGTAATGGGCTGTAAAACAAAAACAATGATCTCAATAACACAACACTCCGAGGGGCTGAGGGCGACTGCAGAGTTGTCAGCTGCATTGTGCTGCTTTAGGACAAAAGCAGGGAATCTGTAATAGAAAATATTGATTAGTACAGGTTTCAGGTCTTCAAACAAGATTTTGACCCTGTTCCTTTCTACAAGACAGGACCACATTATTATTTAATAATGTGCGACCCAACTTACTTAGTATTGTATTATGGTGCAAATTCCCTCACAATTTTGAAGCTAATCAAATTAACAAAACGGACATGCAGTGAGTTTTTTGGGTTCCCAGGGAGACTTAGCTATACTGACTTTTTATTTACGATGCCAAAAGTTACAAAAATTTTAAAAACACAGGCACAACTAAGATTTTACCGTTGTAACTGAACTGTATATATTTTGTGCTACAATGAGGCAGACATGAATTACTTATATTTGTTTTTGAGTGACAGAAAATAATGACTAAACCATTACAATTCAAACTTTATTTATACAGCACAAACATAACAAGCCCTTGGTGGCCTCACCAGTGATGATCTACAACATTCATTCCTCAATGGAATCCATTATGTTGGCTTCCATTGTTCTGTCAGGGTTTGTGGGTATAGCAGTGAAAGGCTTCTTGTCCAGGCTCACAATAAAAAAAAAAACACACACACACACACGAAAAGTCAATTATGTGCTGTTCTGGTTGCAGGTGAAAGATTCTGACAGCTCAGCTGCAGAAAAATATTGATATGTTGTTGACAGGGTTTATTAATGGGGAGATGTTTACCAATGATGATTTCAACTAGACCAAGACATTCACAGATACACACATAACACACACTTATCAGAAT